TCTGCGCCACCCACAGTTCCTGGTTCCCTAGCTATTAAACAGCTAAGATTAGGAGGTGTTAGCTGCTCAACCCATCAACATACACTTATGTAAAGGTGTGGGGAAATTTCTTTACACAATTGTGGGACTCCAATAAGGTAAGGACAATTCTCGCCCCATAAATGACGTGTTGCAAATTTCTTAATAGTTCTTAAGTTACTGGAGGAGCAGTACCTGGGGAAAGCACGGTATACCATCACATTTGGCCTAAGGTCAAGACTTGCTTTACGAAAGTGCTGGTTTATTTTATTCCGAGTACTGCTTATGGTTAAGCAACTAAGGCCCTTGAGGAGGGAGGGGAGGTTGAAGTTGCGTAGAGAGGTGAAAGTGAGCCCCATAGGCATAACAGCTTTGGTACTCAAGGAGACAGCTTGACCGACACTGCCCGCTACCGCTTTCACATCCCCAATTTGTAATGTTAGGCAACTGTTTATTGTACAGTTGACTACAAATGGGAAAAAACAAATGTTTCCTCTAAAGAAAAATCTTTACCTCTGAGCATTTTACTCACTGAATGGTTCTTGTTTACCTGGCTAACAATAGCTATGGTCTAAGTTCAAATGAATCTCAAATATAAGCCAAGAAAAATTTTTGGTTTTAAGCGTGTACCCCCTCTTCCACTTCTGTGGATAGTGCAGGCGGTTGTGCGCCCCACCCGGGGTACACTCACATTTGTCGATCGTTATATCTATTTGTCAAACCCCCGCGACCGCGTGTGTTTAATGCGTGTGTCAGCCACACCGAGATGTGGTGGGGTGAACGGGATCCTTGAGAAACACCAGTACCTCTTTTACACCTCCGATAAATCTATGTTTTAGAAGTACGTCAAATGAGGGGGGGACACTGGTTGAAATTATACCCATATAGCACCCAGTTTCAAGTTAATCGCGTCCCTCCTCAGTGTCGCACAACTCGCAACAGGTTATGTTGTGCTCAAATAGGTTTTATCTATATCAATAGACCAAACAATCTTGTTACGGGAACCTAACCTTAGACATTAGGTAAACACCTTTTATCAATCTTTTACTAATTGTGATCAAATTCAGGTTTTGTGAGCCATGAGCAGATGAGAGTTTTCGTCTTATTAAGGTTAATAAATTAAATCTAAGAGCTAAATCCGACAACAACACTAACAGCAGCAAAAAAAAAATATACAAAAATTTCGACAAAACGAGTACCTTCGAAAGAGATGGGAAACAAATACGTGATTTCATCAATTTGTAGTGCGCCCTCTACAGGTTCATGTGAGTCTACTTGCATCAATCTAGTTCCCCCCGGCACTGGGTCAAAGACAAGAATTCCAGTTATAAAGGTGTGGACCAAATTTCTAAGGTGTTGGGGTAGCAGATGCCTTGCATAACGGGTGCAGGTGAGGTGATAACAGGTCAGTAACAGCCACAACTCAATTCTACGGACTTTCTCTTGTATATTTCACTACCAACATACCAAAACTCTTCAAATACACAAACTAACAACCACAAGTAACACGTGACCTCAGCCAACAAGGAACTAGATTTTTTTTCTGTTAGAGTTACATTATGAGACAGATTATTGGCCGCGCTGGATCACCTATCGGCACACAGAGAGATGCTAACCTAACCCGTCCATGTAAACTTCTTCACGTGATAAATACAATGAATTCGGTGAAGGCAGAAGTAGTTATGGCCACCACTTCAACAACCTGTCCTACACATACACCCACTACTACTACAACCACCTGCCGTGACACACACACACACACACACACACACAAGGGTGCCGTGATACACACACACACACAAGGGTGCCGTGATATATAAACACACACACACACACACTAGGGTGCCGTGATACACACACACACACTAGGGTGCCGTGATACACACACACACACTAGGGTGCCGTGACAGAGGCAGAGGTGTAACCTCTTGTTAAACACACTCATCACACCTGCAGTACCATACGTCAGCCCGCGAGAGAAACCGACAACTCCACTTTCCCCATTTCTTGTGTTCCATTTCATCCATCGCGTTGTTATTTTACAGTGCTAAAAAGGGTCTCTGCTTGTCAATTGTGTTGAATGGCCATCCCAAGTGGCATTACGGAGTGAAACCTGAAGAAAGTTTTTTACTTGTAATGTTAAGACAAGGAAACTGGAGCACTGACGACGAGCATTTCCCAGAGGGAAGACAGCAGAGTCATGACTTGTGAGTCGCCCAGTCACTATCAGCCAGGCCGCCACGCCACCAGTCACTATCATCTATGGTATGATGCAAGTACATCCCTCACACAGCCATATACTGTAGCTGTTAGTCGGTTATAATGCAAACACTCGCATGCTTGCGAGTGACAAATTTAATGTGGTTGGTTATAATAATTTACAAAATAGCGTACAGTATGTCTCACCATCATACATATGCAGTATATCAAGCTGCATATGTATGATGGTGGTCAGACCCTAATAAAACTGCCCCCACCAACAACAATCACCACTCCTCCAGGACAATTCAATTCAATTTGGTTATACAAATGCATAATAAAATAATTATAATGGAAGACGATAAACAACTGTTGTCATAAATACCTGAGTATTTACTCCCCAAATATTTGATGAATCAGGCAGACACGAGCCATTATCATCTATTTACGGAGCAATATTGCGTTTTCTCTTTCTGGAGGGGGTGACCAGCAAGACCACCGGCGCGGAGAAAATTATAAAAGCCAACTGCTAAATATCTCTTATCGCAACTCATGCTACCACACGCCGATTTATTTTGTATGAATAAATAATTTGTTTGTCTCTATCATTAATATTATCGTGATGAAAAAAAAATATATATATTTATTTTCCACTGATTAATTATTATCGATATGTTTCAAGTGGAGAATTTACAGAGGCTACGCGTAACGCCATTAATCAGTTTCTCTCATAATTTTCAATTGTTGATGGACTAGAATAATTACTTAATACCTGTTAGGTGCTTAAAGACCTTAGTTGCTAAAGTGCTGTAATAACATCATAAAGTCAACGCCAAACAGGAGTCTATCATCCATTGTGTGGGAAGATACAGCTTATTATCCGTGAACTGGTAAATTTAAGAGGACTTAAAAAATATACTGGAGGCACTGATACATTCATGTGGTTTAGGATCGGTTCTCGAGGTTATAAGTAAGCACGTTATAGCATACCGCCAACTGTACAAACATCAACTGGTTCTAGCGGCGCAGTACAACAAAAGGACGGTCTGTTCTCTTGGTAAAGAATCAAGGAAAATACTTAAATGGAGGACTCCCGGACTTATATTACATGTACTAGATATTAAATGTTTACTTGTAATTGTTGTTTATATCCATTATTGTATTTAATTGTGCATGTGATGAATTCCCAGCAGATCAAGAACCAGGGACAACCATGCCAGGCAAACACCGAGGGCTCAGAGCTGAAGGGAGCAACCGTTCTTATTAAACTCATTCTTTGGCTCTAAGCTTAAGTTTCTTTTTGACAAAATTCGCATAATCTTTTTACATTTTATCCCGTTATTATGTTGTCTGATGTTACCAGGTGTATATATGTTATAATGTTTCGAACCCAATTTAAATCGCCATAAGTGACAGTATTTGAACAAAAACGTGCTTCCTCGTCAGTTCACACGATAAACCTGCAGTTCACACGATAAACCTGTCACCACTAGCCCCGTCCTATTAAGTAGTGTGCCCTTTATTATTCCTTCCATTACGCCCTTCTAATAACATGATAATTGTTATAAAAAAATAAACCAAAGTGCGGATAGTCAGCCTTTTACTTTACACGCTTTACAAATGACAAGCAGCGAGAAAGTAAATAAAAGAAAGAAGTAATCGTTTAAAATTGAATGAGCTGAATATTTCATCGTGGAAGTCAGATAAGCTTGTGTTGTATGCTTACTCTGTGACAGCCATTAGGTAGATTTCTAGTGAAGCAACTATGTACGACATTGCAAAATAACTAATCGTCATTCAACGGACAATACCCACCAGGATCTGATGAAAGACTTCGGACACGCAATGAAACATCCAATTTGCATAGTTAAAAAGATGGAGAATGTGAATTTGCCATCTTGGGCATTGTATGGGACTAGATTCTGCATCAGTCCAACACCACAAGCAAAACACTACAACTGTCCACAATTGTTCAGCTATATGAAGCCTTCGTAATATTCGTGAAATCCTTTACGGAAAAGGCTAGAAAATTGGTGGAAAATCACGTATGATTTTATTTTATTTTTATGAAAAGGACACTGAAGGAGAAATGGGGTTATCTGGTACAGAAAAATTGCGCATAATGCCTTGTGGTAATTCTGTATTCCTTGTTTACTGAACTTAACCGCAGAAAACAAATACTACAGTACAGTACTTCAACAAAAGTTTGGGCTCTTGTTTGAGCTGAGAACCTGCTGACATTAAACAATCCACATCTGGAATTAAGTTTTGTTAATGAGCTCATTTATTTCTCTGGTTATGTGTCCAAGATTAACGAAGATCTTTCATCATCACAAATATTGTCGAAGAATATTCGAGCCTCCGAAATTATCGAAGTGCTTCCAAGTGCTGAAATAGGACTGTGGATTTACCTGAAATCGCATTTTCAAATTTTTGAAGATATGGTAGGGAGGTGCGGGAGGTCATGAACGATCCTTTATCCCTATACCAGGGAGAGACCCACACCTACCACATATTCGGTTAGTGGCCCATGGCCGGGATTTTGTTTCATTTAAAACCCGGCCGATGCCTAGTAACTCAGCTAGTACTTATCTAACAGTGCATTTAATACAAATATATACAAGATAACAACTGAAGCAAATAATACAACACCAAACGATGCTTACACAGAATGACGTGATTAGAGTGATCAGCAGTTAATGACTAAATTGGTCCAAGGGCCAAAGAAATTCGAAATTTCTTAGTAATTTGGGTTAGATTTGTAGATCTTTGGTAGAACTTACCTTTGTAATATCGGAGAACATGTGCATAAGATCGGCATCAGTGAGGGCGGCGGGGTGGGTGTCGGCGTCCTCCTGGCGGCCGGGCTCCTGCTGGTGCCTCAACCCTTGCCCTGACGTACTCACTTGTCTGCACCCCGCACACCGCCACGCCCGCTCTTTCTGTAAACAAACACAACCTGAATCAGTAATTATGATCAGTATAATATACAAATATACAGTATAGGAGTGCTTATATCTACTAGGTTTATTTATTTTCACACACACACACACACACAAGGATCTTAGATATAATAATTTAAAAACTACCACAGAAAAAATACTAAAGGTATTTGAGAGAGAGAGAGAGAGAGAGAGAGAGAGAGAGAGAGAGGTGAATATACCATGTTACCTGTGTAGCCATTTCATACATGTCATTACTTAAGATAATTAGAGGCGGGAACAATACTGTCGTGCAGATAATAGGCGACAGTTATCAGAGCGTGGCGACTTGTACAAGTTCATCACTAACTGTCGACACTCGTACTACTAAAACCGAAACAAAATATAATAACAAATAACTGAAATAACTAGTATGTAACAACAATAATCTAACCAACACACGATATTTTTTTTTACATCTTAAGATCTAATAAAATTTAACAAAGATTCATATACAGTACAAAGAGTTCCTATAACTTGGGTGCCGTTTAACCCACCGATTCATAACCTACAGTAATTATTATACAACCAACTACGACGAATCCACAACAACCAATCACCAAACAGATTAAATCCTAAGGGGACAAAAGTAATATATTCATTAAATAAACAGTAAAGATACATCTACAAGTAAAGAGGGGAAGGAGTAATAGCATCAGCCATAAAAGGGAAACGCTTATCATAGACCACCGGTGTACAGTACCAACTTTATTTACAGTGATGCGTGCCTGTCGGGAGGCCAAGGAGTGGTGCAGTCTCATTGCTTTCTTAAACTTTACGTTGAATGACACAATTATTGGAACTGAAGATGAGGCGATGATGCTTGTTTATGGCAGGGGAGAGAATATTTGTTTACGATGGTGGTGACGTGGCTATGTTTGTTTACGATGGTGGTGACGTGGCTATGTTTGTTTACGATGGTGGTGACGTGGCTATGTTTGTTTACGATGGTGGTGACGTGGCTATGTTTGTTTACGATGGTGGTGACGTGCCTATGTTTGTTTACGATGGTGGTGACGTGGCTATGTTTGTTTACGATGGTGGTGACGTGCCTATGTTTGTTTACGATGGTGGTGACGTGGCACACCCCATCAAGACTACACACCCCTCCCAGGCCAAGCACCCCATCAAGGCCACACACCCCTCCCAGGCCAAGAACCCCATCAAGGCTACACTCCACCCAGGACAAACCCCCAGGCCTAGAACCCCCATCAAGGCCACACCCCTCCCAGGACACACCCCCCCCCAACAAGAGATACCTGACCTAGCCCGGTTTATCAATAAGGATAAGAGTTTGAACCATACACCGAGGTTAACATTATACTCCCATCAGTTCACAGTGGACTATTCGTCATAGAAACAGGTACAGTATCATAGCTGGGGAGTCCGGTTATATTTATAGTTCAACTTTGCTAATTTGGATCATATTATTTTTTCACGAATGACTAAATATAATTTTTTGGGGGGTGGACTAACTGCTTTCATATTATATAAACGAGAAGACGAAACTCAATCGCATAATATTATCGTCAGAAGATAATATCAAGGCTAAATCTTGCTTCCAGGGATATACCATTGCTCTTGATGTGTTTTGAAGAAAAAACAGTATGAGTAGAAGTAATCCATTTTGCCAAATTCTAAAATAGATATGCTAGGCCTCACCATTTCCTCTAATATGTCATGGAAGTCACACATCTATAACATTCTTAAATCTGCCTCCCGAAAGCTGGGAATGTTGTAGAGATGCCGTAGCTACTTCACTCCTGAGCAGTTGCTTCAAGTTTATAGGGGATTAATTCGTCCTAACTTGGAGTACTGCTCTCATATCTGGGGTGGCTCTTCTTCTGTCCAACTGTTAGATAGGGTGGAATCTTTGGCATTTCGTCATATTAACTCTCCTCCTTTAATCAATAACCAGTCTTCCCTTTCTCTTCACCGCAATGCTGCTTCACTCTCTCTTTTTAACGGGATGTCGGTCACACTAGATTAACCCGTTATAGTACCTCCTTCTTTCCTCACACAGCCAAACTGCGGAATGCTCTGCCTTCTTCTGTTTCCATCCTCTTACAATCTTTCTCACTTCAAAAAGCTGGTTTTCCGGCACCTTCGTGGTGTAGATTAACATAGACTACTCTTTCTCCTTTAACTTTTATTTTTTTATTTAATTTTCGCCCTTCAGGCCCTTACGTGGGTCGATGACCAGTGCCCGGCTGGGCTATATTCCCCATGGGAAAAACAAAACAAAACAAAAACAAAAAAAAAACAAAAAATTTCCAGGATCTGCGGCAGCTGAGTGGATACAGCGCTTGGCCCCCGCCCCCGCCCTTAACGAGGGTCGTTGGGTTGCGTTCAAGGCATTCCCAGTTCACCCAGTTGTATGTACAATCAAAGACAAAAGTCGTGTCGCGGTTTTGTCCCAAGATTAAATATAACTCGTGAAACATTATGAGAGCCTCCTACCACAAGGCAGAGCGCACCAAAAGTTTTAGCCCTTCGGCATATGTTTTCACCAAATTTCACGACACGACTTTTGTCTTTCATTGTACACGGATACCTAAATCTACAGATGGGGGGAGTTAAACGACCAATGGGACCTTCTTTCAGTAATTTCAAATCCTTGATATAAAAATTGGTTGTACAAAAGATTATTTTATACTAATAACACCATTCAACGATCTTCGGGATTTGTTTTTATTAACTTTTTCTTAAAACTTTAATCTTCACTACATTTTGTACACCTAATATACAAGACCAACAAAAACGTATCGTAATGCCTTTTTTTTATTGTTGAATGTGATATATTATTCTATGTTACCATACATTAGTTTTCTTAAGGTATTATTGTTCTGTACACCAGTACTTATCTGAATATACTTGAAGCCCAATTCAATGTTTTGTTTTCCTGAATTTAAATATATTGTATAATAACACTTTGTGGTGGCTGTGGCCAATTGTTGATTTCTTGTTTGTACTGTGGCCGATTACCGTATAAAGGTTGAGGACCCCGCCTTAAGCTGTCCACTCATCACAATTTGAACTCGGATTAGCGACCCAACAACCTCGCACACCTATAATATAAACAATAAGTCAGTCCTCCGGTTTATTTATTACCCAAGATAACTAATCTGCCGTTTTAGTTCGCCGCACGGTAGAAATAGGCCTACAGGAGGAATGTCGAGATATAAAAGGGTCAGTGGCATTCGGTTGAAGCCGCTGTCGTGAGACACAATAATGTCGCTATTTATACAAACCTCATTCATTCTGAGCGTGATAGGAATTAATTGTCAATGTGTATTCTTACTAAAGGGTCGACAAAATATTGAAGACAATACCTAACACCAATTTTTTCTCAGCATTCAGCAACAATAACCAAGAATTTAAAGGAACTGCACACGAGAGATTTATTATGTACAGAGCATGTAATTAGCTCAGGCATGACGGTCGCGAATACCTTGATAAGAAGTTTCTTCAGTCAGTTATAATATTACTTAAGGCAATTATCCCTATTGTCTCACACACTGCAGGAGGTGAAGTTATTTGTATTCATTATGTTTAAAGAACATATTTATACACACCTACAAGGTCAAGTTTAGTCGACCATGTTAACAAGGAATACTGTTATAATAAATACAGAACAAATACATAAATATACATTGATAAGAACTGACATCCTGTAATAATTATGTTCACGTTTTAACTCTTCACCTGTAAGGTTTGTGTCCGTTGTACATCGTCACAGCGTTATAATTCCATTCTACAGTGTCAGTATAAGCACTAGGTCACTTAATCCAAAAAATGCACAAGTTTGAACTCTTGTTAAGAACAATTTACTGTAAGTGTTTGGCAAGGTTGATATCATAAACAAAGAAGGCGGCAGACAAAACTAATGTCAATAACAATGGAGATCCATAACGAGTACTGGAGAAGTGCCCTGCGACCGCCATCATCTCCTGCAAGAGCACTTAGTAAATATGGACACCCAGGGGAACAGGGTGGGGAACAAAACGGGTTGGGTTTCCCTGGCATTCCTCTTCATCCGGAGCGACCGGCGCAAAGACGTTCCAGGTGGCACGCCTTGTCCTCTACAGCAGTCACTCCTAACTTTACCTGTGGCAAACTACCAGTTGTAATATAAATTATGGTCGTCTGCACAAGGATTTCCCAACTATCATCTATAATCTATATGATCACTTGGCGAAATGGTGTTCGTGGAAACTTTCATCCTATGTTCGTAGTTCCAGGAGAAGAACAACGTCTGCGTCCTTGGTTTTTTACACTCCTTAAGTTAACCCATCCCGTCTACTCTTCTCTACCTGACTCTCCCTCCGCTAATTTTATCTGTACTGTGCCCCTCCCCTTCCTACCCACCATTGCCACATTATCTCGTTGCCCTTAAATTATTTTTTAGAGAATCAAGGAATGTTCAAATTTTCTCATTCTTTGTTGTGCTCTACGGTACAATTGTAGTCGAATTTGGGTTATGACCAATTGTATAATACACACATAAGAGAGTGATCTTAGCCAGTTGAATAACGGTCTCTCTTTATTCAGTTCCCTGTAGCAGATAGTTTAAAAGGACAAATGAAAGTGTTAAGTGTTTGGGAAGAATAAAGACTTGGATGATTCTCCTGGGAACAACTTTCTGACTACCATCACGTTACATGGCAGCGTCACAGATACTGAAGGTAATATCTACCCACACTCAAGCCGTCACCATATACGAACAATAATTCTGAATAATGAGCCGTGACAGTACATGTGTATTAGCACGTCTATGTGTATGCAAACTCACGTATGAGTTGTATATTCATTACGGAACAAATTCATTAGTTACGGTACACCAAGAGAAAGTTGGGTTCCTCGTTCACAACATGTTGAGCGTTAATGTTGGCACCAGTGGCCCCAAACACTCGTAAATAATAGATAGTGAGCCAACAAAGAAATAATTTTGAATAAGGAGA